ACTTCCTTTCCCCAGCCAGATCTAGCGCTGGGGAGGGCAACGCAGCCCAGTTGGGCTGAGTTTGTTTCCGCAGCCTGATCATAGCACTGGGGATGGGAACACAGCCCAGCTGGGCTGACTTCCTTTCCCCAGCCTGATCTAGCGCTGGGGAGGGGAACTGAGCAATTGGGCTCAGTTCTCTTCCCTGGTCCATGCAACAGCACTGGTTCCCCTCCCTGATCTGGCAGGCAGATCAGGGGCCGTCAGCTCCAGAAGGACTGGCAGAGCCTTGGCAGCCCTCCTGGGGTTGGGCACTGATCTGTCTGCCTAATGAGAGAGGCTGTTTTGAGCTTCTCCATTACAGCTAATGGGCAAAACATCAATACAGCGTAAAAACAGCCTCACTGTTTCAACAAAGTGAAATGGACCAGCTGTTTTGACTCAAAATGAAATTCAAAACAAAACGCTTTCTGTCCAAACCTTGATACTCAAGTCAAAATGGAACAGTGCCGTATTGCACAGCCCTACTACACAGATAATCCAGTTCCTCTCCCAGTCTTCATGCCTTGCTATTGCTGATTCTTGATAAGACAGCTAGTCAGAGGACAGCTAGACCAAACAGACAGGAGTGTTGCCAAGTGACAAATGCAGAGGACTTGTCAGCAAGATTTCTGTGTTCTGTTCTTTACTCTGCTATTGAGTTTATTTGTGGCTGGGGAAGAGATATGGACCCATAGTTAGAGGTTAGTATATGTGTTTGATGAGGGAGTCCATCCATCCCATTAAGTAATGGGTGTTCTTGGAATGAATGCTAGGTACCATTTTTAGAGGCTGATCTTTTGCAAGAACTGAGGGTAGTGGAAGCATGCAGGGTCTTGAGTGCTTAGGGAACTCTTATGCTAGTTGTAGGTGCTAGGGAAGATTTGCCATATACACAAAAATGCCAGATAGGTGCCTAGTTCCTGTTGGTTTCTTAGGATCCTAAGAGTCACTTTTCTCTCTGAAAACCTTCCACTCTGAACTAATGAAAATCTAAACCTACAAGTCAAAGTTCTGTCCCTGTAACCAAGGGGCCAGACCTAAGAAGGCATTTAGGCTCCTGACTCCTACTTAGGTGCCTAGGGGGAGTGTTGGTGGCTTTAATCTTGTGGACATGCAAAGATGTGGATGTTGGTATTTTCATTGTTCCCCAAAAAAGTAGTTTTGGCCTATTTGAAAATTGAACCCCAAGGAATAATTTCCTGGGGGAAAATTGAGGTGGACTCTTGCTTAATTCACTAGAGAAAGGGAGAATCTGCCAGGACAGCAAGTATTATACAGCAAAATCTACTTCAGGAAAGGCTGATCTTTTCACTCAAGATTGATTACTCTGCCTCAGCATGTTATTAAACATAAAAAATACAAGGATGAAAGGGAATAAAATATAATGTAGAAAAATCCACAGATTTATGCTTGAGATTCCCCACCCAGTATCCTCATTTGTTTTATTGCTTCCTTTAGAGGTGCAATTGTGTCTCTGTACAGGCTTGGGGAGAGGGAAAAAACACTCAAATGGTTGTTCTCTCGGGCATTTTATGAGGATTTGTATCCCTTAAGTGCTGATGGAGAGGAGAGGCATGCTGGATGTATGACTCTTATAACAGATATAACCCTATTGGCAGGCATAGCAAGTGGCAGAGGTATGAGATGGGAGGCCTGGGACCTCTTCCCAGCTCTGCCACCAGCCTGCTGGGTGATCTTGCTTTTTTTCTCTGTTCCCCATTTCTCTGTTTGGTTTAGAAGTTGTCAAGGGCACAAGCCCTCTTGTCAAGTGTTTGTACAGGAGACAGAATACTGGGGCCTGTATCCCATTTGATATCCCAGGTGCTCAATGGATATAAATAATCACCATTATATTGGCAGTTTTTAAAAGAGGAAAACAACCTGAACCATAGGAAGAAGACATGAACTTGTTCCTTTATTACCCACAGGCAAGGGCTTCTTTCTGTATGTGCTACCACCCCTCTGTCAAATTGTAGCACTTCAAAACAGCCTTATGTGGCAGGGCAAAGCTATTTCTCCAATTTTCTGGTAAGGAAACTGAGGTACATAGACTGAGTGACTTGCCCAAAATCATGTGTGGGGTCTGTGGCAGAGAAAGTAATTGAATTCTGGTCTCCTATAGCTCTGGCTGATCATCCTGATCACTGAGTCACCCCTTCTTCTAAAGCTCTTTTATACTGTGTCCAACAAGAGGGATCGAAAGGGGCACAACTTTTGTTTATTGTTGATGGCTTCATAAGCCAGTGATCTTTCCAGGTCCCTGCTGTCTCTTGAGCTTTAACCCCAGTGGCAGGCAGAGGTCCAAATTCATCCTTGCACTGGTGCTTGACCAATCTGTTTCTATTCTATAATGGGGCTTCTAGAAGCCTGTTCAGATTATAGGGCTGTCTTACCTTGGTTGCCGAAGCATCAGTCGGTTGGGCTGAGCAGACGACTGAGCTCCTGGAACAACCCACTCTGGCTCTGAAATTGCCTCTCCCTGTTTCCTTGATCAAGTCACTTTGGGCAGGATTTTAAAAATCTCTTAAAGTGACTTTGGAGCATGGGACAATATTTTGCAAAAATGCATATCCCAGTTTTCAGTGGGAAGAGGGGTCCTAAGTCCCTGAAGCATTTCTGCGAGAATTATCCAAAAGTCCAGTTGAATTTCCACGGTACTAGGACTTCTAAATCACTTGGAAATTTTCAACAATTCCACTATTTCAGGCCTGGTTCACCATTTTCCTGTATCTTGTGTCATCAGTTATACCACTTAAAGTACTTATGCAAAGCTGCCTACTCTGCATGTGTCTACATGTTTTTCAATGTTTCATAGTTACTATGCATTAAAATTAGTACTTGTATAACCATGTACTAAATCAATGTGCAGTAACTGGTGCTACTGTGCAGTAGTGCTGGCGCACAGCTTTTTAATGACACTAACTGTGCAGTAGCCTCATACTACTGTGCAGTAGCATATTAGCATGGTTTTTGCCCTGCATGCTACTGCTCAGTAGAATTAGGCTACTACGTAGTTAATGTCTTGTGTAGATGCACCCTCTGACTCAGTTTCCCTATCACTGAAACCAGGAAAGTGCTACTTGCTAGATCACGGGGGGGGGGGGGG